ATCATTAATGTTGAAATGTTCTCACTCTTAGTTCTATTGTGAGGTTTCTGTGAAAACCCGAGAATGTTTTTCTATCGCATTTCTTGACGCTTGTTGGTAGTTATTTCCTGTAATCCAGGTGCCCAAGTAGTTGTATTTTTGAACCCTTTGAATTTGTTGGTCCCATACATGTATGTTTAATTGTATGCTTGTATTGGGCGCGGTGGAGCAAATGAATGGCCACCTAGATCACCTGACATAACACAAATCGACTTTTTCCTATGGGGTAATGTTGCGGTTGAAGTTTACAAACAGTTCCCAACATTAGCTCTATACATTAAAGCCAGAATTGGCCAAAGTCTTTGAAATTGTTCACTTTAAACTGAAACTTATCGTTTATAGTATGCGATGCGCTAGTGGAAACAGAGAAAGATCTGATTGCAGAAACTACAGCCCTATGAATGAGCTCGCAGGAAAAATGTACGATGTTTGAACAGTTTAAAGAACATTTGCACAATTACTCAAGTATTATTGGGTACGAACAAATCTAAACTCGGTAAAACGGTCTTAAAGTTTCGTAAAACCCTTAAGGGAACATTTTGCGAAATGGGTTTTCCCACGCAAATGTCTTCTATTGATGTCCTGATAATCATGTATACATTTTCACTATCTTTGAATCATGGTTATTGTCTGATGCGGTAAAAGTTATTTTTATTGTGTCACCCAACATTTACTCGCCATAACATGGACAGCTTTAAAGTCATATTTTGAAGTAAATATTCTCGTTTTTTTATAAATCCCGTTTATAGCGTTATTTGCCTTTGGGTCCCGGTTTAGCAGGCTTCTATGTCTTCCTAGTTATCTTCTAATAGGTTTCTGGCTAACATCGCTTTTGTAATTTTTTGTCTTTTTCTTTTTTCTTGACGTTTTCTTTTGAAGTATTTTTCCTCTATACGCTTTACAGGCGGGTACCATATTAATTGTTGCTTGTCTATATCTTCCACCATTGTTCTTTTGTTGGTTCTCTTATTTCGTCATTTCTCACTTGTTCTATCAGTTCAACTTCCCGTACATTGGCCTTAAGTCTTTGTGTGCATCATATATTCTTATTTTGTGTTCCAGTGTTATGTTTTTCTTTAATCATTTCAGTATCCGGCCCTCCGTTTCTTGAATTTGCCAATTTTCTCCTTGATATCTTTCTCAGTTCGGCTTACGTTCATCAGTTTGATTCCCAGACAGATGCATTAATCACTCAATCATTTTTTTATTTTTCGATGTTTTAGGTCCAGGTCATCTGCTGGTTCTTCACCCACACGGATATTGGTTTTTGTTCAAATTTTACTTTATGTACTTTTGCCTTGAGCGATTACCACCTGGTTATCTGCATAGTGCGAGGTATATAATGTGGTGGATCCGATATTCAGTCCGATTCTCTTGCACTTTTTTCCATTCTCTGAGAGAATTTTTCCCATTCTTCTATCCTTGCGTTGCGCTATTATTCTCCGCATGTTTATAGCTGAGGTTATTGCGTTTTGCTTCTTGTACCTTTTAATTAGAAAGACTAGACATAGATTTAGTTAAGGACATTAAAATGAGATTAGTGGTGCTTGAACTGCCATAACTATTTGTTTATTCATTATTTACCACTGTTGCTGTACACTTTTGGAAGTACATTTGCTTGATTTGCGTTTATTGTATTTAGAGTTATTTAAGAAATATTTTGGGTGCAGTGAATCGATCGGGTATTTTAAACTGATAGGGTGGTTCTCCTCCTTCCAGTATCCACATCGTTCCAGATGGGGCCTTTTCAAGAATCGTCATTACATGCGGAGCCATGTCTTCTGGACTAAAATTCGTGTTAAAAATTCAGCTTTGACCTATCGATTTCTAAAATTTTTTACGTACCTTTGCAAAGGAAGTGTAGTCAGTAAGTCGGCGAATCGCTCATAGTCTGGACCGAAAGTCTTATTTGCGGATTCCGTTAATAGTGGAGTAACAGTGAGTCCTGGGGCAATTGCGACCACTCGCACTTTAGTGCGATTGTAATGTTCAAGCACACCCCAAGATAATGTTAGGCCATGTATGGCAAATTTGGTTGCAACATAGCCGGGCATTAGACCATATGGAGCTGTTGCTGCTATAGAGGATATGTTTAATATCAGCCCTTCGTCTCCGGATTTGAAGTTTTTTATATAATTCTCCAGCCCTAAGAGAACTCCATTTATTGTGCCATTCTAAAAAAGTTCACTTTGTTATTGCCAATTGTGAGGTTTCAAAATTTTTATTACTCACCAAATTAATAGCGATTTCTTGTTGCCAAATTGAGTCATTGAATATGCCGGCATTGTTTATTAATATGTCCACATTTTGAAACGTGCTGATAGTTGTTTTAAACACATCTGAAAACGTTAATTCATTAGATATGTTGAAAGTTTCGCGTATGAAAAAGTTTCAATTAAATATTTGCTTACTTTCAAATTGATTGTAATCTGTAACATCTGCTTTGATGAAAATGGCCTTTTTTGCGCCAAACTCTCTCTCAAACTGTTCAATAGCTTTGCGTCCAAGTTCGGCGGATACGTCTGCTATCACAACAGCCTGAAATTGTAATTTAATCAGCAAATATATTTTAAACCTCTTAGATTCATTCTATATTACGCGCGACTTTTAACAATCTTTCCATATAAAGTGTTTCATATCTTTTTGCAAATGAAAACGCCTATAAGTGTTTTATATGAATATGAATAATGTAGAAGCTGTTTTCCCATTAATTGCACTCATACCTTGGCTTGCTTCTTTAACAGTTCAAGAGCATAATGTAAACCCAGTCCAGACGCGCCACCCGTAACAATAGCAACTTTTCCTTTAATATTAAAAGATACCATACTGGCTGAGTACTCGTGGTTGACTGAGCACCAATAATACTCAATCTAGCGAGGAAACTGGGAAGGTCAATGAAGCCTCAAGAAACATTACGAGATTAACGATATCAGATATACAGGGTGTCCCCAAATTAGGTGTGGCCAAACTGAAACAGTGAAATCGGCTCTCAAAATTAATGTTAATTTTTCAAATGAACATATATCGAAAAATGCTCTCTAACGGAGCTACGCCTTCTTGAAGAGGGGCCCAGTAGTAGGGTTTTTTGCAAATTACTTCTAAACGGTTGAACTTCAAAACGTAAATTTTAGGTACTGTAGTAATTTTGATATGCTGAATCTAGATCTGAAATTAAATATATATTGTCAATCATTCTGTTTTTTTTTCGTATTCTTCATTATTTACATTTAATATGACAAAACAATGATAATTATTTGCAATGTGCTTTCGAAGGAATTACCAAGAATTAACTAGTTGTTGAAAGCAAGGTGTTTTCCTTCTGATTGTTTTATTTTCCTAGTTAATCTGCGCGCAGTTTGTCTTTGGATTTGCCTTGCGTTAAATGGTTTGACATGTGCACTTAATCAAACAGCAGATTGGATTCAAACACCGCAAAATGCGGTTTGTTCTTCTGCGACAAAAACAATTATTTTTATTTACATGTTTATTATCTACGTCCACTGAAAGGAACAAAATAACTTTGCGAGTTTTAAATCTGGGCGTAATAAAGGAATATTTTCGGCTGAGTAAATCGATCGGGTAGTTTGAACTCATAGGGTGGTTCTCCGCCTTCAACTACCCACATAGTTCCCGATGGAGCCTTTTCGATGACTGTGATCACATGCGGAGCCACAACTTCAGGACTAAAATTCAACTCAGACTTTTACAAAACAAACCTGTCATTTATACGTACTTTTGTACAGGGGAATCAGCCGGTGAGCCACGCAGTTGCTCGTATTCCGGTTTGTAACTTTTGTTCGAAACTTCTGTTATTAGAGGAGTTATTGTAATTCCTGGACAAACTCCAACTTGTACACACTTTTGTTCGATCGTAATGTTCGGATGCACCCCAAGGCAATGTTAAACCATGGACTGCAAATTTGGTAGATACATCGGATGGCATTAGAGCTATCGGAGCTATTCCAGCTAGAGATGATATATTTACTATCAGGCCTTCATCTCCTGACTTGAAGTTCTTAATGTAATTATCCAAGCCCAAGATAACGCCATGAATTGTTCCATTCTAAAGCAAAGATATCTAATCTAATGTTTGTACAGTTTTTTTGATAGGAAACGACTTGGCTCTTTAAATATGTAGGTCTCGTTAAAAACGCATTTTTCAAAATTAGTTTAAAATAATACGTGATCATGATTATACTCACCAAATTAATGGAAATTTCTTGCCGCCAAATTGAATCATTCAATATTCTTGCTTTGTTTATTAAAATGTCGACATTCGCGAATATGCTGATAAATAAAATTATTTGATAATGACAATAAAAGTCTGTTTTCAGTGCGTTTATAAGCAAAGTTTGGGCGCGTGACTTTAAATAATTTAATTATAATTTCAACGATAATTCATTTCGCAAATCTGCTCAAGTGTCGTGATGCATACCCTCCAATTCTTTATAATCACATATTTATATATTTTAGTTAGTTACATATTTTGACAAAAATAACCTTCTGGGGACCAAACTCGCTCTCAAGCTTCTCAACTGCTTGACTTCCAAGTTCAGGCGATACATCTGCTAGAACAACGCCCTGAAATGGTATTTTTGTCTGTAAACTTTACTGAAAACCTGTATAAGGTATTGAATTTTAAATTATTTTAACTCTGGATTGGTTTGCGCTTTTGCAGCAATTTTCACAAGAAAACACATTTTTCATTGAGTTAACTCATACCTTAGCTTGCCTCTTTAACAACTGAAGAGCACATTAAAAGCCCAGTCCAGATGCACCGCCCGTAACAATAGCAACTTTTCCTTTTATATTGAAAGAAACCATTTTATTTGTAGAGTAGATGCGGAATGAAAAATTTACGTATTTTGTGCGTAACTTCATTGCCATTTCCAAGAAACGAATCTGTGAAATAGATAACCCGAAAAACAATGAAAGTAGTTTACCAGATAAGCACTTTTAAGCTAAAATTTAAATAGGAACTTGAACGAGAGTAAATATTTTGACAATTCCTGGCATATGCAATTCATTCTTACAGGGTCATTGTTCTTTTATTTAGAGGAAACCGGAGCTAATAATTGTCACATTTACTACAAATATTTTTTAATAGGCATACTACGGTCTTTTTATGTTTAGTTCAATAAGGAGCAATTAAAGTTCCATTTTCATCCATCCATCCACCATTCAACATACGCGGAATATTTATACCACCACCAACCCCAGTTAGCACGTTTTATCTTATTGGAAAAAAATTATATCGCAAATAGTGAATAGGTTGTATAATATTATTACACCCCCATGTTATCGACACTCACTTTTCCCACTTCCTAAAAACTTTCTGTTAGGCAGAGAGTAAAATATAAAGGCAGCAAATGAAAGTGGAGGAGGTGAATATCCAAAAACCAAAATACAACCAGAATTTAAGAGTTTTAATTAGCAAACTAATTGATGAATAATTAATTAAATAAGCTAACATGACCAAAAGCTGGAATTGTAATGTTTATTTCCAAATCCACCAGTTTAATAATTTAACGGTAAAATCGACAAACCAAGCAACGCCAAGTTCGGTTCAACTGGGGCAAAAAGGGCGTTCGGTTCAGTGAAAATTTCTAAAAAAACATATGTACAACTTGTTGCGGCTGGAAAAACGTCAGCATACAGTTGAATCAGTAATAGGAACTTTTAAAGTTTAAATAATTCATTACGTGAACAATTTCCATGTTCCCATGACACGATCCATTTGAAACCGTTGGCCTGTAAATAGGGACGGGTTTTTCAGGTTGATTTTTTAAATAACGCCTTTTTTTAATTTATTTGTTCCTTAATAAAAGTTTATATTGGGGAATCCGGCATTAATCATTGATTAATTGGGTTCAAGCGTTTATCAGTAGCAGTTCGAATCGCAGTTTTTCCATCAAAGATGTAAAGAAATGAAAAATCATACGTGTGCAGCTAAAAGCATTTTGCAACGCTTGTTTTAGCCAATCAAAGCTGCATTATTTTGACACACTTGTTTACAACCATTGAAAAGCATTGATCACGTCAAGAGGAAAGTTATCATCGAAACTTTGCACTTGCAGTTAATCTTGATCGTTTGTAAATCATTGGTGAAAAATCAGCTCGTGCTGTTAATACGATTAAAGCTGCGGGACTCAAAAAGCCAATGCACCAGGATTATTGTAAATTGTTACCCGAATAAAATTACTATTGTTCATTAAACATGTAATAGGTTTTGCCACAATTTTCCAGGCTATCTGGCATAGGCTGGCCTCTAAGATTTAAAAATTTACTGGGATTAAATGAAAACAAACTTAATTTTTTACAGAGATAACACACAATATTTGTAATCTAAAACTAACACAAACCAGTTTCAGTTGTGCCGTTTTCTTCGTCCTCAGTCGTAAATATCTCATCTTTACTGAAATTGGCTTATTTCAATTACTTTCATGCTTTTATCTGTTTAGTCCAGCTTTCGCAATTTATTCCTATTGAATACCTGAAAGAACTCGAAATTACGAGGTATTTTTGTGAAAATTGTGAACTTTTTCAGATATGGTGGAAGGAGAAGGAACAGTCATTACGAGTCTCGAAAATGCAGTTTCTTCAGTGTTGCAAAATACCATTGAAACAAAAATTTTAACGCGTTTGAGCTCGCCTTTGCCATTCCTCTTCCCATAATTTACATCTTCGCCTCTGGTTCTCTAAACCTAAGTTTTTGGAGATCAGGAGGTCATCCTGGTCAAACTCCCATTATTCAAACTTTGGTTCTTTTGTAATGAGCGGGTAAACCACATGGTTAGTCAAACCATGAATTGCAAAGTTGAAGGCTGCATAAACTGGTGCGAAAGCATTTGCAGATAATTCAACAACATCTAAAACTCTCAGACTCATTTATCTCCAGACAAAATTTTAAAGGCTGAAACCACTTAAATTATTGGTAGTTTACTCCTAAGAAACCTCTGTAGCATTCCAATGATGGATGCATTTAAATTTACAGCAGAAGGAACGGAGCAAAGTTTTCACGACCTATAAGCCATGGGCCAGGCCATTGAAATTGCTTCCTAACGTTTCGTTTACATCTGCGATGAACATTATCGAAGGTGAGCATTATGAGGCAACAGTCTTAAAATCCCAGAAAACTTCAACGGATATTTTAAATCGGTAAAAAAGACTTCATAGTCTGAGAAAAAGAGAAGTTTAAAATGGAATTTAAAAAAATCCCTCTTCATTGGATTTGTTATTAGTCAGCAGATTTACCGCCACGTCTTTTGCCCATATTCTGGCCCAATATTTCGTCGATAATTACAAACATTTTTGCGATTGAGCTTATCGGCTGTTTAAATACGTCAGTACAGACAGTAATTCTGCGAAAACATTAATAATTTCTTATTTGGTTGTTTCTTCATATATGTTATAAAAAAATGAATTTACGAGATTTTCTAATTGTAATTATTTGTTTTATGTAATAGATAACCAAATTATCAGCGTATTAGCACATGTGGATTGCGTATCGGTACATTGAATTGCTGCGGGTCACAAATCTATTATGTAAAATGAGCTTGAACGATTTAAATAATTAAATTTTTTCAGATAATTAGATGTGAGATTATTTGCGTCTACTTAAAACGAATAAAAATATAATGGCCTCATCGCTAGAAAAATGCTATTCTACCTTTAATACCAGCCTTTTGTCCTTATCACGATTCGAACTTAGTTCCTGCAAAGTAGCTGAAAACGGATTCTCTATTGGGTGATTCTACCACAAATGTGGTCCTCGTATATCCACAGTACTATGCTCAAATTGAAACTAATCCATTCAAGAAACAGGAATTTAAAGCTCAGGAAATTCCCTTTTAATATTGTGCTTTCGCAATTAATTCGCATTCTACCTATTAATTTGTCAATTGAATTTTAAGAAAATTGTCGGTTTGTGATGCAAATCTTCACTTTTCTATGCGATTTTTTCTCAAGAGAGTTTTAAAGTCTACTTAAGTCCCAATCAGGATTTTTTAAACAGAAATTAGGGCCATTATCTGGACAAAATTTTGCTTATTTATTCTTTTATAGTGTTTATTACATTTGACGGTAAGCTTTTTCATGGTAAGATACTAACAAATGACTCATAAGCAAGTTCAATATTGAAAAAGTAAACTTCGTAAAAACTATACAAAAACATCGGCATTTCATTACTTTAAATAACTAAGTCATTTAATTAGACTATTTAGATTAGTTAAAATAAGATACCTATGTAATAATAAAAATATATTCACGATAAACAAAATCTTTTTTGGCCAATGTTACAAAGTAATTTGTTTTGTCCTATTTAAACTTGAAAAATTAATAATTATAGTCCATTAATCTAGATAGCATTAAATGTGGCTTTGAACCTTTAAGAACATATTTTCCAGAAAAGCATGAATCTCTAAAGAGAATTGAAATGTTTCCAGTGAAGGGAATGATGTTTATTACCTATCCCGTAAATGTAGATTGATTGGAGTAAATATGTTCCTAAAATGTTGCAATTTAATCAATCTAGATTAGAAATGGCATATTTGGAGAATTAACACTATCAACTTAGCAGAAAATAATATATTTTTTGTTGTTTCAGGTTTATGTCAGTAGAGGATGAAGGAATTATAAGAGTAAGTACTATTTCAAGAATATTCCCTATGTTTTCAATCCCCATGAGGTTGAGAAAGAAGACAAGCCAAAGACACAGCGAGTGATTAATAAAATTATTTATTTTGTAATTTGTTATGTATATAAATAGCTTAAAGCATTTTTGGATTGCTGAGTTCAGTAATCTTAAATATTCCATCTTCGTCAAGTGCTTTATTTTTCATTGCATTCAACAAAAAATAAAAACTCCAGACTTTACGATGATCCCAGGGATTCGGCATAGGATTGCGCAATAGTTACGGATGCGTACTAATAAGTTGCGGCCTAAACACGCCACATTAAATGCGATATTGCGAAATAAAGAGCCGAAAAAGACCTGAAGCGTCCTCTAATAAAAGGGGACACTTATATACCATTCGCCCCGTTCGCTTTCCTTTGTACAAGAATTTTTCGCTTCTAAATGCTTAACTTTGTCAAACGTGAAGTATTATATCCTGGGAAAGGTCAGACCGGTAATAAATCAGTTTCTATGAAGAATGGTTTCATAAAGCAGATCCTTTTATTACCATCGGCCATCCAGAAAAGGCTTAGCCAGCTTTGACGTAGATAAATTAAGTGCGATTCTGGCACTTTGGATTCTTTGAATTCTGCTTGTGGCATATCAAAAACCATTCGGTTCCGACTCGTTGAGATTAATTCTCGTCCAAATGCTCTGCTAGTTTGATTTAAAAACATTCATCTATGGTTCTATCCACTATTGGAATTGGCGGACTCTTCTAGTTTTTGTCTCAGAAAAGTTGCTGATTTCAATCAACTGAATCCTATCGGAACGAAATGTGTAGGAAATCCAAATAAATTGTATGCCAAATTGTAAACCACAGCAAAGTTGTGTTCTTTGAAACAGATACAATGAAACTGTTGAGCTTCTTGGGCCTTTAGGCTATATTTGAAACCACATACTTCTGCCTTCATGGAGTCATAGTAAGTGACATTTAACCAAAGAATAATTATAAAATTCTTCAATAAACAGCATTACAGTTTAATTCACGTCACAATTCTACATTACAAGTTAAAAATCTGAAGCAAACCCCAGTTTATTAATGAAACGTACAATAAATGTGATTGTAAACATTATATCCTGTAAAGGTTGTTACGGAAGAAATGTTTTCGGTCCTACCAATCGGTCGGGTAATTGAAACTTGAAGGGTGCTTTGCCTCCTTCAACCACCCACATGGTTCCCGAAGGAGCTCTTTCAATAACCGACATTACTTGAACAGCCGCTTCCTCAGGGCTAAAATCAAAAATATATTCCAGATTTTTAGAAACCTTTTGCCGGTTTAGTAGCTTACCCTTGATTTACCACCAAGCCGCATTCTATCGGTCTTAGTTTCTCGTAGGCAGGCCCCAAATTTCTGTTTGGTAGGTCCGTTATTAACGGCGTAACTGTCGATCCTGGACACACGCCTACCACTCTAACTTTGGTTCTTTCGTAATGAGCTGGTAAACCCCATGATATAGTTAGACCGTAAACAGCAAACTTAGTTCCAGCGTAAATTGGCACAAATGCGAATGGCGCTATTCCGGCAATAGACGATACATTCAGAATGAGCCCTTCGCTTCCGGATTTGTATCTTTGTATGTAGTTTTCCAATCCCAGAAGAATTCCAATTATTGTACCATTCTAAAATAAACCGTTGTAAATTAATTAATTTGCTGGGATTATTTGCACACTGTCGATACTTTCTCATTTAAATAATGTTAGTTAATAAAAGAGCTTGTGCAGTTTACTTTTCATTTTATACTTTGGAACCCAATCTAAAATATATGTATATTGGAATATATTTATAAATTCCAATACTCACCACATTTATGGCAATTTCCTTTTCCCACACTGAATCATCCATTATTCCAGCATTGTTTATTAAAATGTCCACATTTTTAAACGTTTTTATTGTCTCCTTAAACACAGCTGAAATGTTGATAGTTTCGCCATTATTTATCATTAAAACGTGAAAAAACTAGTAATATCAGGGTACTCGCGGGTCTCTAATTGAATATCAGTGTGAAACGACGTGAACTTTGATCTTGATCTACGTTTGATCATTTGTTGAAACTCGACGCAATCAAGTGATTTAATGCGAGGCCAAAGTTGCACTAGAAAACACACCTCGAAAGAGTACAATACTTACAAAAGTGCTTTATAAATGAAAAAAAAACAACTCAGTTCCGAATTCAGAAAGTTTATCGGTTGTTCTACGTATTAGAGAATATTCTTGAGGAATTTGTGATTGACCTTGTTAGCATTGTCTATCCTTTTAAGCATTGTTCAAATTTGACGAAAGAAGTCCAGGAAAAACAAAACATTTAAATTGAACCTGAAGTTACAGTGACAAACGCGGCACCAATTCTCCCTCGCCTTACAAATTTTGAATTCTCTTAAGTAATTTGCTGTGTTGACTATCTGTGTGAACAGTATTCTGCCTTGATTTTAATAGAGTATGCATCCAATCATCTGCAATCAATGACTTGAAATGGATGAAGGAAATCCAGAAAAAGGAAAATATGTAAACTAATCCCACCTTTAGAAGGTGAAGAAGACAAGAACTTCATGTGAGTGAAACTTCTGAAACGTTTCCGAAAATTAGGAACCTTTTGAAAAAATACAATCTTCAATAATTTGCTGTGATTTACTGTCATTGTGAAACGTATTCAGTTGATACTAAATTGATCTCACTGAAACTTCTGAAACGTTTTCTATAATGGTAAACTTCTTGAAGAATTTGCTTTCATCGACCAAATGACGAAGAAGTCCAGGAAAGGTAACATAGTTAAACTAAACCTGAAGTTTGAAATGATAAAGGAGATACTAAATTAATCTCACTGAAGCTTCTGAAAGGTTTTCTAAAACAAGGAAATTCAAAAAAAGATGAAATATTCTTGAAGACTTTGCTTCCATTCAGTATCAGTATGATTCATGGTCAGCTTTGATCTTGATGCAGTATGCTTTTATTCAGTGACTTGAAATGGACGGAAGCAAAATATGGAAATGAAACCCGAAGTAAAAAATGATAAAGGAGACACCAAATTTATCTCAGTGAAACTTCTGAAACGCTTTAAAGAATTAAAAACTTTTTGAAAAATAAATTCTTCTTAAGTAATTTTCGGCGATCGACGATTAGTGTCAAGCATGCTCAGATTTGATCTTGATAAATTGTGCTTTTAAGCATTGGCTTAAATTAGACAAAAACAGAAAAACGTCAAGATTTAAATTAAACCTTAAAATTGAATTTTACAAATTTGGACTTTTCGTAAATATTTTGCTGTAGCTGGCTGACTTTGTGAAACACATTTGACTTTGATCTTAATTGAGCATCTGTTTACCGAATGACATGGAATTGATAAAACAAGTGCAGAAAAACAAAATATTTAAACCAAACCCGTCGTAATCTCAACGTTTTCTAAACTCAAATATTCTCTCGGCATCCATATATACTTGGGATCTTGTCTAGGAAATTGCTCTTTCTGTATATTGATTAAAGGGCTTGAAGGGCATCTCTAATATAACTTCTTTAACCACTCATTATCGCATGCCTTTATGTCAGCGTTTATTATTATTGTATGATGAAAAGGAGCTAAATTACCTTCAAATTGTGCATAGCTCGTGACATCTGTTTTTATAAAAATAGCCTTATTTTTGCCAAATTCCTTTTCAATTTGTTGCAAAGCTTTGCTTCCAAGCTCCGGAGATATATCGGCTAGGACAACGGCCTATAATTTCAAAAAGCACAACATTGCAAACAACATTTTCAGCTACAATTAGATTTGAAATTATTTAGAAAAATTTCTAATTGGATCATAAAAACCAACTAAGGATTCTCGTTTACCTTGGCGTTTTTTTTCAACAATTCCAAAGCATATTTCAGTCCCAATCCGGACGCTCCGCCTGTAATAATGGCCACTTTATCGGCTATTTCAAAGATGCTCATTTTGGCTCCACAAGTGCTCGACAACGTATGTAAAAAGCGATGTGACTTTCAAAAGGGATTGAAGCGAACTGTTTACAACAAATTAAAATTCCCGATTAGAAAGTCCTCGCACGTTAAGATTATGGTTTAAATTATTACTGAGTGTGCGCAATTGGTATTTTTTATTAATAAAATGAAAGTGTGGCTATTTTCATTTCAGTTAAATAACCAGCAGTAGGTAATAAAATTTGATCGCTTTTTCTTATCCGGCTCAATTACGCCTACTGAAGGATGCTGAGTGGAATTTTATGGAGGCCTACAAGGTAAATGAGCGCGACTGGATCAATCATAAGCAAAAACAAAGTCAATGAGCTCATTTTTTGCTATATACATACTCAAAAATTCAGACTGCAAAATATCTATCGCAATATAACGTTGCTCTTATTCTGCTAGAATCGAGATAAAGAACGATTTTTTGCTGATAAATCTAAAATATTTCGGCTTACGGATGCAAAAAACAAAACATTAAAAATATTTCAACCCAAACTTTCAGTCACTTAAGAAACGCTTTAACTTCAGTAAATCTGTTTGGCATTATAAACTGATAAACAGTTTCAGCCTCATCCACGAATGTGTCCTAATCCTGTACCAAACATCCTAATGCTTAGAATGTTTCTAGGGTTTATACTATATATAAACTAAGCAAAGATTAACACTTACCAAATTGATAGCTATTTCTTTTTGCCATAGGAAATCGTTGTATATTCCAGCATTATTAATTAAAATATCGACATTATGAAACACGCTGATCGTCTTCTTAAATACGTCTAAAAAACTTTATTAGATAAAGCGACTCCCAACCTATAACTGGATGGTTGATTGCGAAGGAAATTAATCACAACTTTGCATATCGTCAATCGGTTTTTACGTACTCTCAAATTAATTGTAATCTGTAACATCAGTTTTAACAAAAACGGCCTTGTTAGGTCCAAATTCGCTGTTAAGTTGTACCACTGCTTTCCTCCCAATATTCTCAGATATATCTGCTATAACAACGGACTAGAATAGTACTTTTTTTAGTTACCAAAATTCAACTCAAAACTCTCATAGAAAGGCCTTTTCAAATCAATCAAAACCTAATGTCCGTCTAGCCTTGGCTTCTTTCTTCAGTAGTTCTAAGGCAAATTGGAACCCTAGACCATCTGCACCACCAGTAACAATTGCCACTTTTCCTTTTAAATCAAATGGAATCACCATAGTAGAGTACATGTTGCTGGCTGCGAACTAGATATTGGTATTTTCAAATAGACGTGCAAAATTTAACTGTACTTAAGTTAATAGCCACATTAGCACCCCGAACACATAAAGCGAGATAACCAATTCATCGTTCAGTTTTAATTAATATGAGAAGCAATTGTTTCATTTCTTGTAAACAATAAACTATACATTATTAATCAACTTTTTTGATTAGGGGCTCAGATTAACGAAGAAAAATCAGATTTGTCGCATCGAGAACGTGATTCATGATCAGCCATGCTGTTGTGTTATTGTGGATAGTTTCTAAGCTTTATTTATAACTTACCATTTTTTATTGACCTGTCCTGAAATTTAGTTAATGTTTTTGCTAGAGCATTTATTATAGCAAGCTATGCTGAAAGTTAATATTAGTTACGTCTGGAACATTTCAACCACATGAAAAAGGCAAACAGCAGTAATCAGCATTAAAACCGAATTAAAATAAGCTTGAACATATAGTTGCTTTAAAACTTCTTTAGTTTTCCAAGCCATATAGAACATGTCGGTAGTAAAAATCAATCAGTAATTATGGAACCCCATTAAGAATATTTTAAGCCTTTGAGCGCAAAAGCAGCACTAGTTTCAAAATGCAATTGCATCTGGCATTCGGTCAACAAAATCAGTTTTAAACATGCAAAATTGGCCAGGGTCTTGTAGCTGATCGATTTGTAAATTGAAAATCCCGCTCAGGATATAGTGAATTAATTGGGGCAAGTTTACTCGAGACTGTTTCCATGTTTTTGCCAGCAATCTGCAGAACGTTGTCAAATGATTTCAGATCTTTATTTGTTGATGGGGTTTTCCAGTTGATGAACCAACGTAGTCACTGGTCGCGTTAATTCGATAAATTAAATATCCAAATTCGGTCTAGACTCAGTTTTTTATCAACAGTTTCAAAGTTGCGAAGAAAAAAGTGAAGAAACAGTAAATAGTTGATTTAATTAGTTAACTGTGTAATGTATTGCATTAAAGAGTATTAATTTAACGCTTATTTTTTCACTTATCTTGCATAAACTGACTCAAAATCTTATGCATTAACCTCGAGGTGAACTAAAACAAAGTTTTATTGCCTAGGCAGATAAGATACAAGGTTTACAATTACAAACAAATGCAAACCATTCTCAACTGTTCTGATATTCATGAAAATTTTCAATTATTTTCATTTTGCACTCGGACTGTTTCTGCTGAAGTAAGATTTAACGGCGTGCTTTTACCTGAAAAACCACAACTTATGTCTGTTTTTTAACGATATATTCCTGTTTTCTCTACATGCTTACAGCTAAAATAATTTATTACTTTATGGAAAACTTAAGTATGTTGGGAACGATATATACCTGTTTTCTCTGTACGCTTAGACTTAAAATAATTTCATACTTTATGAAGAAATATGCAATTAATTGTTCAGTTATAAGCGATACCAAAGTGAATGTGGCTCAAAATTAAATAAATACTGAGTAGTTAAAATTTAGTATGAATTTGAACATTCATAGAACATGGCGTTATGAAATTGACTGAAACAAACACAATGATTCTGTTATCATTAGTGTACTATTATTTATTAAAGGAAATAATTTCGTTTGCTCTTAATGTGACAGCAACATCAAAACTATAATAATTGGTTTGCTTTAATCCATACATTTCTGCCTGGACAAGCATCATAATTATATAATTTCTAAATATTTTCACTATCCATAACTGTGAATTTTTGCTCCAAAAGCTTTTGACCGAAAGACTATTTTTTAGCGACTGGCAAAAATCAAACTTTAGCCGCATTTTCTACATTAAGGAACAAGGTGAAATCTGAAAATGTACCAGTTTTATCCAACTTGAAATTTTCAGAATCTATTAAAGATAGCTGACACTCCATAACTATAAAATTACACCCGTTTAGTCTGAACGATTAATTTTCCAGGGTCTGCCAAAGTTAGTATTAAGGGTCACAAGGGACAATCTGAAAATCTGCGGGCAGAAAAATTCGGGGCAACAAAATCTGAGCAAGTTACAACCTGCAATTCCGTCAGTTGTCTAGATATATTCTGTGTTCTCTAACTGCAAATTTTCATTTAGTTTCACTTTCCGACTAATTTTTTCAGGATTTCCCAAAATTAAGACCAAAAGTGAAGTTTTCAAAAAGGCCAAAAATTCGTAACATCAAAAGCTCACCATGTTACGACTTGAAATTTTCATCACCTACTCAGAACAGTTAGTGTTGGATAACTGCAAAATCTCGCGCTGTTAGATAAAAAAGCGAATTTTTCAAGAGCTGCCAAAATCGGGACCAAGAACAACAAAGTGAAAATAGAGAATCTGGAAACAGAAAAATTCTTGGCGTGAAAACTTGGTCAAGTTGCAACTTGCAATTTTTGCAGAAATCTAGACACACTTGACGCTCTCCACTGCCCCCACGTGCAATTTTTCGTTTCGTTTCATACAACGACTCATTATTCGGTGACTTTTAAAGTTAAGACCAAAAGCAAAACAAGGAGAGAACTGAAAAAAAATCGCAGCGATTAAACCTAATCAAGTTACGACTTGAAATTTTGACGCTTTATTCAAGATACTCCAGACTCTATAACTGCAAAGTTTAATTCCATTAGAGGGAAAGCCTAGTTTTTCAGAGACTGTCAAAATCAGTACCAAGAGCGACAAAGTAAAAACTGAAACTCTGCGAACATCAAAATGAGAAAAAATTGTATTGTCAAAAGCTGCTTAAGTTGCAACTTAAGTTTTTGTCAGTTGTCTCGGTACACCTCATGCTCTCTAAATGTAAATTTTCAGTTCATTTTTCCCAACGCCTAATTTATCAGCTACTCCTAAAATTAAGAACAAAAGTAGCCAGGTTGATAGTGAAACTATACTAAAACAAGAGCTAAAAAGTATCATAGCTTATTACAGACGCTTAGTACTCCATAACTGCAAAAGACTACTCTATTAGATAGTCAAACTAATTTTTTACGCAGTGTCAAAGTTAGCGCTAATAGCGACAAAGTAAAGATTAGAAATGTGCAAACAGGTGGTGTGACTTGCTATTTCAATCTATCTAAGAACAATTTTACATTTTGCTGCACCGAAACAACTTTGCAACGAACCCTTAATGAAAAAAAAATGACTAGGAAATCTTCTAAGTAATTTTCCAAACGTTTGTACTTTTTACTAAAATTTTTAAAGTACGTATTGCATTGAAAAAAAAATAGTAATAGGCGCTCGCATTCAACATTTTTTTTGCTTTGTTTAATGACTTTTTCCTTGTGTTGGGCTGGTGATAATAATCCAGGTGAAACTTCTGAAAATCCGAATATAGCTCGACCACCATGCGAAAAAACGAAAAATTCGCTACATAAACTGCCAGCCAATTTAACAATAGCCAAACTAGCAGTGGCAAAAACTCAGCTTTTTCGCATTCCAGTTTCGCTTAATTCGATTGTTCAGCGCAATCTAGCTACGGCCAATTCCAAAACGGCGCTTTAGAGCCGGATTGAGCATTCCAGCTTTTTAATAATACCGGCCTCTTAATGTCATATTATATGAAAATATTGGCTTTTGGGTTCGCTAGTTAAAGCATAGCGACTTAGAGAGTGTAGCAGCTTCGAATCCCCTTGTAATGCAATTAATTTATCAAGCGCTTTACGTCTGGCTGTTAAACTCAGACAAGAGTTTACCGATGTACACTTAATTAGGCTTAACTCACCCTTCTGGATGACAAATCATAATTTAATGGATCGGGAAAAGTGAGTCGGAAATGGACATTGATTAAGAACTTGGGAAAACCTTTACCTGCAAATGAACCACTGATTTATCGCGATTCTGGATTGAAGTAA